AGATGTGTTTGTGTGTCCATGTGTATCTGTGTGCTGTGATTGTATGTGCTTGAGTATTTATGGACCCCAGAGGTCAACATCTGGTGCCTTCCTCCATCGATCTCCACCTTTCTTTAGAGATGGTTTCTCACTGAACTTGGGACTCATCAATTGCCTAGACTGGTTGACTCCTAAGCTCCTTGAATGCTCATTTCTGGTCCCCCAGTGGAGTTTTGAATCCTCCACACCCGCTTTTTATCATCTCTCCAGCCCTCCATAAAACATCTAAGTTTTTTCTTTACTCTGTGTGTGTGTGTGTGTGTGTGTGTGTGTGTGTGTGTGTGTAGGGAAAGCTGTATGTTTCGAAGTCACAAGACTCGGTAGAGTCGATTCTCTCCTTCTACTGCGTAGGGTCCAGAGACCGAACTTAGATCATCAGCCTTGGTGCCATCTGACCAATTCCCATACTTTTTAACTGTATTGATTTTGACTGCAAGTTTGCTGGGAATATACAGCTAATTAATCAATCATTTCCAGTAAGGGATTAAGGAAAAACAGGCCAGATATGAAATAGTCTACTTTTATCATTAATTTGAGGTTCATCAGGTCACCAGTCAAACTGCACAAGTATTTGAAGAGTGTTAGCCTAACAAATAAAATTATATTGTTCTGAGATGATATTATCACATATCAATTTTCTTTTGAGGGGTACTGGGATACTGCTTTTCATGAACTGAGAGAAGGGTAAATACATTTAAAACTGTATAGGAAAGGTAATTCATCTCACCTAGATGAAAAAAATTGTTTCATCTATTCAATAAATAATTTGGTTATTATGTTTCTGCTTTGCCTATCATTTTACCTATAGTACGGTTATCAGCACATAAAAATAGGTGATATTCCCCTATTCTTGTTAGTTGTAATATATATTCAGAGCTATCTATCAGAAGGCCTCTGAGGATATGTAAAAAGGACTTGTTAAAATTACATATAGAAAGGAAGCACAAGCTTAAATGGTTTTTCTTCCCTAGGAATTAGAGCTACCTTAAGCAATGGCTTTGAAATCAGGTAACATCAGCTATCACCAAACCAAGTTTTCCTAGTATCTGGTCTACTGAGAGCATTGAATATATTTTTGTATTATTTATTTGTCTTGTCTTTATAGCTATTGTATCATTATTGCATTTGTGCTTAACCAATAATTAGCTTTCATATCTTTATATGTAACCACAAGCTGTTATAATAGCCATATTCTAGTAAGCTCAATGAATAAATAAAATGTGATTCTTCTGCTGTCTCTACTGATTGTATTTTTGCAACCACAGCTGTTTTTCTTGCTAATATTAAAAATAATAATTGCTTTATTCTCATTTTCAAAACCAACAATAAATTGAATACTGCATCATTTTTTAAACCCAGAAATATGATTGAACTAAGTTAAGAGTTCAAATATAATTTTGATGAACCTTTCCCCAAAGTCCAAAAGTTGCTTTTACATAAGGGTGGGTTATGTGTCAATTTAGAGCCATCATTCTCTTTTCCATTTTCTTTCTGAAAATAAATCCAAGTCTTTTTATTTTCTGAGAACAGAGCTCCCACCTTTAAACAAAGGACATATGGCAGATTGCACTCTGTTCATGCACAACCCCTTTCCAATGATTCTTCCCAATTAGCTCATTATAAAAGTTGCTTTTACATAAGGGTGGGTTATGTGTCAATTTAGAGCCATCATTCTCTTTTCCATTTTCTTTCTGAAAATAAATCCAAGTCTTTTTATTTTCTGAGAACAGAGCTCCCACCTTTAAACAAAGGACATATGGCAGATTGCACTCTGTTCATGCACAACCCCTTTCCAATGATTCTTCCCAATTAGCTCATTATTCATTTATAACTCTAGTAATAGGCTAGCTTACAAGTGCTTATATACAAAGCCTTTAATTCTGTAGATTTTATTAGAATTGGGGGCGAAAAACATGTCTTCCACACCTCTAATATTTGTGTCATTCTTAGCATAGTGCCTATGAATTAATTCTATTTGTATATTAATATTTAATATATAGCTATAATTTCTTTCTAAATTACTAGAGCACTTGAAAATGTATTTCCTATTTTTTTTTTGTTGTTCTTCCTCTGCCTCACCTGAAAAGCCAAAAATGACCTAATGTTTCCATAATAATTAAGGAACTCTAAGCCCCTTGGGAACTGATTAACATGAGTGGCCTGCATGGAGACGTCTAACTCAGGGACAGTTTCATCCTCATGTCAGCTTTGCTTCTGTCAAATCTGGAATTCTGCCTTATGGATGGATGGTGCAGTGAGCTGAGAGGCAGTGGGGATAGCTCATGGTAAGCACTGGCTGTCAGTGGCAAAGAGGATACTAAAAAAATGCTAAGGTGCCTTGGTCTAGACATGGCCTCTGTGGTGGGGGAGGGCGGTATTCTGATTCTCTCTGCTTGGTTAACAGCGACCTTCAGAAACATGATGTACATAATGGTCTGTATTGATCAGACTTCTATTCTGAGGCATACAGAAAGGCAGTATATCTCTCCTACTTCACAATTTAAAAGTGCCTCTGCCATCTACACACTAGTTTATACATCATGTGCAGAAAACACCCTTAGTAAAGTCACACTATGCTCATCTGTATTAAATAGTATTTTCTCCTCTTGACTTTTCCATTTTAAATGGTAATTTTAAGTTTTTGTTTTCACTATTATAGTCCAAAATGTGTACAGAAAAGAATACAAAGTTGAAGAAAATTGATTTATAGCAAAGACCTGAGGGCATCTCACTGGCCTGGCCTGTCACACGCACTGTGAGGGGAGTTCTGCTGTGTCACATTGCAAACAGGAGTGGAAGGCAGTACTTACGGTAGTATGCACGGAGCTAGACACTCGTGTTGAAGCATCAGTACTAGCAATGTGAGACCTGAGGCATTTTACAATCCTAAAACTGAAGTTAGGTATTGATTGATTGTATCAAAAGATAAGGGGTATAGATCAATGATTAAGTGTTTGTCTAGCATGAAGGAGACACTGGGATCAGCCACCAACACTGTTAGAAGAATAAGAAAGAAAATTTCAACAAATTTAGTTTTAAAATGTAACCGGCTTTCATTCACAAGTCTAGAATCAGGAAGTACCTCCTTCTGCCTAAACAATATGAAGTCATTACCCTAACAATAGTCTATGTTTGTCAAATTTTCTGAGTTCCTCACTTCTCAGAAGTAGGATCCTAGCAGTTGGGTGTTAGCACATAACCAGAGATCAAACATATCCCTGTTTGAGAATTTCAATACGAACAGAGAAAATATCTTCGTGTTTCCTCTTTAATCTACCAAAATGGAAAGTGTTTGTCACAAGGCCTCACTCAGGTGCTTGATCTCCTTTTCAGTGTCTCTCATCTGAGTATAAGGAAGACTAAGAATAACTGCCATTTGAGAAGAGCTTTTGGCTCAAGAAAGAGCCTGAAATAGTAAAGGAAAAAATGAAAGTAATAGAGGCACAAAAGATAACTGGTATGAATGTCGTCAGCAGGGGACAAGAAAGCCGTTTCATCCACAAAACAAGAGCAAGATTTGTGAGTCTCAGTTCCTACTGTTATGAATAAACTTCCACAGACTTGAGGCTTGAAACAGCCATGTTGCCATCTCACATTATCTCCTTTAGGGTCCATGGGCTGCAGTTAGGAGACAGTCAGGGAAATGGCCTCATCTCACACCCAGGATCCTCCTTACAGACATCAGTGTGGTGGCACATTTCCTTCCGTTTGCTCATCAGACACAGATCCCACTCTATTCATTTATTGTTTATTTATTTACTTATTTACTTATTTAATTTTGATAGCTATAGCAAAGTCATAGACTGCTCCGATTACTTGAGACTACCCACAGTTCCTTGCGTGGTACTGCTGTAAGCAGTTCACAGCATGAACATTATGTCCAGGCCAGCAATAATCCAACTTTTTGCCTTCTGATGTTAACCTACAAGGAACTCAACCGATTCTATCAGGACATTATTCTCCCTTTCAAGTAGCTTAAAGTTCATGGATCAGCAGCCTCAATTACACTCCCCCATTAATATTACAGAACAGAGTATAATATAATATAATATTATAATATAATAATTGAGATAATGAATACCAGTATAAGATCATCTCACATTCAAGGGAAGGTAATTATATAAGAAGTACATAAGGGGCCGGGGATCCTGAAGCCATCATAGAATTTTGTCTACCCTACCTTAGAAAAACTAATTTCCCAGAAACAAAATTTTAATTCAGTTGGGTCTTCTGAAATGTTTCTAAATGTATTTTTGAAATTATTTATTGAAAGGCTATTTAGACATGTGTGGATTTCTCTAATAAAATGAATGGCCAGCTCTTTACTCCAACCTCACTTATCACAATGTTGACTTTTCAAATGAAGGAATGCCGCAAAGAGGGCTGTGGCCTCAGTGTGCTCGGGCCAGCTCAGCAAGGCAGACCCTATCTGACCCTTCTGAGAGAGGCCACAGAAGGCACAATTAGTGAAGCTCTTTGGTAGAAGCTTTTGCAAGATAATGTTAAAGAAAGAAAGGACGGAGGTGGGGAAAGAGAGAGAGAGAGAGAGAGAGAGAGAGAGAGAGAGAATGAAAGAGAGAGAGAGACTTTGAAAAAGCCTGAAACAGAGTTTAAGAAATCAAGATAACATCCCAGTAAAGAAGATATGTGTGCAGTAAAAAAGTCCAACTAGTCTCAGCACAGAGAACAAAGACAGATCCAAAGAGCCCCTTTATAAGTCTGTAATACAGGAAAAAGAAATGTCTAGTCTCCAGAGATTTAAAGGAAATGAATCATAATGTAAGGGAAGAAACGTCTTTGGGGAATGTAAAGACAAATAGAGACTAGCCCAAAGACAAGCCCGAAGGGGTAGTTTTGGAACTGCCCAAAACCACAAGCTGTGGAAAGAGCATGTCCCTCTACATAGAGAAAGACATGACTCAACACATGTGGCCTCACACTGGATGTGGGCGAGGTGGGACAATCGTGATACTGTATGTAGGGCCCTTCTCAGAAAGGTTCACTCAGGCTCTGCCTTGCTGAACTGACCTGAGCACGCTGAGTCCACGGCCCTCTTGGCCGCAATCCTTCATTTGAAAAGACAACATTCTGGTAAGTGAAGATGGGATAAAAATCTGGACATTCATTTTATTAGAGAAATTCAAATGACAGCATCTCTGAATTGACTTTCAGTAAATAATTTCAAAAACACATTTAGAAAAATCTCAGAAGACACAACTGAATTAAATTTTTTCTGAGAAATACGACCAGAATGATGTTTATCTACTGATAGCATTTGACTTGTTATAATAAAGCGCCTATAACCTTAAATTTTAAACTTCTTAACCATAGAATATATGAGTCAGAACTGTTTGAAATTTTCTTTCAAAATGAATTATTTCTATCATAGACAACTAAAATGAATTCTTAAAACTATTAAAAAATGTTTTTATTTCAAGTCCGGGAATTGAAATATCTTGATTGCTAATTTTCTCTCAATGTTGTTTGACTAATTTCTTAATTTTTGTAGCTAGAGGACAAAACCATAAATTGTGAAACTACAGAGGCATCAAGGCAGCAACAGTTGTATCAGATTAGTTTTCTTTCTAATAACTGAGATGAAGGCAAAGTAAATGTCAAGTATTAGTTAATAATGCTAAATACTTTAATTATGAAACTGAGGTTTATAGACATGAGTACTACTTCAAAATCATGTTTTCATAGAATGACTCTTCTGACAGCTTGCTGCCTAATTCAACACAGCAGACTTTGCCCCACTGGCTGGTATGTGCTATTATCTTCTTCCTTTGGAAATTCTAAATACACTCCCATTTTGATACTTGTGTTTGAGTTATATAATTAATATTTTTAGTTTCAACTACTATTATGTATATCCAATTATCATTAATGTTGGAATCTGTTTTTTATAAACTTGTGAGTAGAAAATGTGCTTAAACTGGGTATTAATAAGCTTAGTCATCTACTTTGACAAAAAGCAGAGGAGTTTATGTTTACATAAGTCTTTCAAATTGTTGGAATATGTGCCATGCCTCTTGAATAAAAAGCAAACATCAAATGGACTCATGTCTGAAAATCCGGAGGCTGGAGGCTGACAGTAGCTGCTTCCATCCCTCCATTCCCATAGTCTGCTTCTGAAGACTCCAGGGCCTCTTGTTCTGGCCACAGACGCTCCTGTACACTCTGCTGACTTTCTGCTCTGTCTTTGGAGAGCTCCTGGAGTGAAATGTCCCTGGAGTTGATTTTATCTTCTCAAACAAACTCACTCAGGAGTTAGGGAAGGGAAAAAATGGAAAGGAGTCTCTAGTAATGGAAGAAAAAGATGATGACGCCAGCAGAAAGGAAAAGTCCTTCACCCATCGCAGACCAAATCAGGGAGAGTTTGGGCTGGCCATAAAGGCATCCTGGCATCTCAAAGGCAGTGAGAACCAGCCCAGCACTACTCCACTACTCTGAAATGCATCCCAGAACACTTTCACTTCTTGCTTGAGAACTTCAGGGAGGGAAAGCATCTAGAAAATCTGCCCAGGAAGCTGCCTCATGCCTCCAGGCTCTGTAAACAAGTTTCTGGATACAAAGTACACACACATCCAAAATTCAGTACCATAGGAAGGGCAAATTTGCCAATTTCATAAAAAATAGATGAATCAGTGTTGTTTTACTTTAACTGAATGTATTTAATATAACTCTGACAATAATTTCTGCCTAGTGTCTTAGCTATTTTGAGCTGAGAAAAATGAAATATGCCAAGATGGCCATACTTTATGACTCTGATTACTTAGAAAATATTACAAACAATAAACACAAGATGTAATGACAGAAATAAAACCTAGGATTTTTGATCTGCCTTTTTGAAAGTCATTATTGTATAGCCAGAAAATACCATGCATAATATCTTATAACAAGCATATTACCTGCCTTAAGAGGTGGACCAGTCATGGTATGGGAAGAGTTCATGAGCCCCCACCACTAACCGAGGAGCTCTGGACAGTTGATGGCTTCTGGTATACAGGGAGTCAATTTTCTTTAAGGGTATGATTCCTGGTGGATCAACTATGACCCAGAAGATAGCCCCACACCCAGAAGCATATGGACAGCATAAATTGGAGTTCACTGGTTGTTAGAGAGAGAGAGAGAGAGAGAGAGAGAGAGAGAAAAGACATAAAATTGGGGCATAGGCAAGTAGGGGTGGATTTGGGAGGCGTTAAGAAGAGGCATTGTGGGGATGAATGTGATCAAAATAGATTTTATCTGGGCTGGAGAGGTAGTTCAGCAGTTAAGAGTACTTGCTGTTCTTCCAGAGGGCCTAGGTTCAGTTCCCAGCAACCACATGGCAGCTAATAACCTCCATAACTCCAATTCCAAGGGATCTAACACCCTCTGCTCACTTCTATGGGTGTTGTACACACAAGTGTACTTCTATACATGCAGACAAAACACTTATACATATAAAAATAAATAAAATGAAATAATTTTAAAATACATGTGTGAATCTCTCAAAGAATAATTTTTTAATTTGGCTACTAGGAGACATAATTGTAAAGCTTGCACTGAGACAAAACATGAATGGGTGGCTATTCCAAAACAGCAGTTGAACCAAGTTCTCCTTTATGATAAACATGCAGAAGGCATCTTAGTAAAAGTTACCTCAGTTGAATTCTGAATAAGTCATTTAGTTGGGCAATAAGTTGGGTAGACAACAGCAGAGTGGATGCCCCTTGGGAATCTATTTAGTAAGTACAACAGAAAGACAGCCACCACAACACTTAAGACAACATTTTTGTTTTGCTTTGCTTTATCCCTACACCATAAAAACCTTTTAGAAAGGAAGTTTGAGAATTTGAAATTTCTGGAAAAGTTGATGAGGGACTCAGATTCCTATAAGCTTCCTGATCAATTACACTTAAAGTGTTTTGTACACAGAATTGCTGTTAAATCTCCAGACATCTTTTCCCATTTCAGGGAGAAAGAAAGGCAGAAGAGCATGATGGCCCACACCTTTAATCTCAGCACTAGGGAGGCAGAGTGTGTCCCAGGGGGTAATTTTTCCTCTGAGGGGCAGGGCCTGATGTGGAGAATTGGCTGTGGAGAGTTAGCCAGGGAGGGAGGAGTGTTGGGGCCATCTTGGACAGAAGCAGCAGGTATGGAAAGAATGGCCCAGGTGTCTCACCTGCGTGGATGTGAGAGGGGACATTTACTGACCTGGGGCAAGACCGCAGGCACACAAGGCATGGGTGAAAGCTAACGGAGACTGTGGGCAGGGCACGGAAGTGATCTGGAATGGTGGGCCACTGAGCCACACACAGAGCCAACTGGGGCACTGGGTGTTCACCTTTGTAAGTTACTCTACTTCCCCTACCCAGGATATAAAGTATGAAAAATTCAGATAAAGATGTGTATGCGGTTTGTCTAATAGCACCAGGAGCGAGGGACCCTAAGAGAACTCGGGCAACAAATTGGTGTAGTGAGCAGGATGGCGCTGGAAAAGACAAACCACAGAAGTTTGAGAAAAGCAAGGATGTTAATGATGGTGCTGATGTGGACCTAACAGTGTATTACAATACGTAACTAAAAAGGAGCCAGCCACATAGAAGTGTGGGCCACAGCTGTGTTGTAAATGTGGGGAAACAGCCCAATTGAGGGTATATGAAGATTTGTTAAAGGTTATAGAAAGGCTAGAAAAACTGTTACAGACCTTGGATACAAGTGGAGAATCCAGAGAGGGGTCTATGGCCCCCTCCATAGTAAAAGATGTGCCCCAGGCAGGGGAAGCTAAAAAGGCCAGGGAGGTGCTGGCAGATCCAGTTGCAGAGCTTGAGATAGAGAAAAAAAAACTGGGACATTTTAACTTTTTCCAGTCCAAGGACTCTGAAAAAAAGACACATAATAATGAAAAAGGAAACAACCTAAAAATAAAAGTAGCTAAAGCTGCCCCTCAGATTCAACCTTTGATACAAAAAGGAAAAGAGCTAACGGTGCTGTAGCTAGGAAATACTCCACACTGGAACTGTTAAAACTAGGAAAAACTTACAAGCAAGCAATCAAAGAGCCCCTCACCACATGGCTCCTGATGGTATGGGACATGGGAGCAAATAGCGTCAGTCTAAGTCCTTCAGAAGTTTCACAGCTGAGTTATATAACCACCCATCCATCCTTGCAATACAGGCTGTTCAACCTAGGCCAATGCAAGGGTGAGCAGTCCTTAATGTGATGGTTGGTGGAAGGCTTTAAAGATACACGGTCATCACCAAGGGGAACTCCCATAATTAATAGAGGCTGGAGGACTTTAAAGGAGGGACAGGCATTACTGAGAGAACTAGGCATGAGAAAAGCAATATATGATACCCAGTTCACTGGGCCAGGTAAGACTGTGTTCACCAAAGATATGAAGGAAAGCTTAATTCAACTGGAACTTCAAGAATGGTATAGACCTTTAATGGTATTGCTAAGCCCTTTAATGGGACAGAATCTTTGTAAAGTAAGAGAGGCTTTCTTTAGCAGATCAAAATGATTCAGACCAGCATGTAAAACATGTCTGTAAAATAGCAAAACATCCTACAAGAGATATAAAAAAGCCCAGAAGGAAGAAATGGTCCATTTGGGTTACTCGAAGACAAATGTGGCAAGACTTATTTCAAGCCCAAATTCCCAAAGACAAAATTGATAGAAAACCAGATTCAGTACTAAGGAGTTTCTGGAAGGCTTTAAAACCAGAACAACAGTTTACAAAGGCATTCAAAGGATAAAAACTGTCCCAGGTGTGGTTAAGAATCCCTAAAGATTAAGTAAGATGCATTTCTCTTCTGATAAAGGTTATACTAGAGGTGGAGGCAGTTTTCCCACCAAGACCTCCCCCAGCAGCCAGGTGTGGTCAATGGAGAGATGACAGATATGGCTACGGTCAGGAGGCAGTCCCAGGGCCTGCCTGACTCAGGGAACCAACAGGTGCAATGGGGACAGAAGAAACCCCTTGCCTCCTTAGCCTAGTGCAGGGTCAGGCAACTGGAGCAAACACCTGTAAGTGTATCAAGAATAAAAGAATACAAAGAGACTCCATGTAAAATCCCCCAAATGCAAAATGACTCCAAAGGGATAACTAAAGAGAGTAAAGAACTAACCAAATTAATGTCTCATACCTACAATGTCCCATGCCATGGTACCTACAAGGATCTGTGGAGAAAACAGTTAAGGCAAATGGATAAAACCTTTCCATGCTGTCTTACACCTTGTCTATGATGGACTTAATATATGATGTTAACCTTCCTTCGAGTGTTTTACAGATGTGAAACCCATTTGAAAGATACCTGAAGAAGCAAAGGACAGCTATAGTTGTAAGATTCTTGGGAGTTTTATGGTTGGGTAAGATAAAAACAGAGGCTCCCAAACTATACAATTGTTAAGAAAATCTACAGTACCAGGGGTTGGTTTGCCCCCTCCCCATGAGCTATTGGTCAGGGAGAGATCCTAGAGGTCCTCAAATTCACCAAGGCTATTGCCACTAATGTCAGCTGTACACTAGAAAGGTCGGTAAGGCCATGTTGCTGAAGACACTGCATGATGTGAGCACGGGAGAAGAGATGGAGCTGAGACTAAGCCAAACAACTCTATGCCACTGGATGGATGACATTCATAGTGCCAGAAGGCACTATGCAGATGGTTGGAGAAGAAAGAATCCCTTATGATTCTACTCAACAATGGACCCAGCATGCTGCACACTATGGACATGCCAAGCAATGCCTGCAAGTTCAATAATGGCCCGACTAACA